AAGCGTTATAAGCATCGACATATAGTATGGACTGCGCACAGGCTGAAAGAATATGACTGGCCCGAAAGAAAGAGATAGCGACCGGTGTGGGTCAAGCTCTGTCTCTTTCTAATAGCTCTGTCTCTTTCTACCGTCTAGCGATACATTACGACATCCATTGGGCGGTAATAAAAGCAGCCAATAGGAGTATTAGAAAGAGCGAGCGATTGACCCACACCGCGTTTCCTCTTTGTCTAATTCACCGGACACTTTTCGATGGGATTTTATGAATGGATCGCGTAGTCCATACTACTATATGTCGATGGTTATAAGCATCAAAGTGAACACAGTCTTAGAGGTATATACATTGAGATGATATGGATTGTGGCGTTCTGTCTTTCACAGTCGGAAATTTTCGATACATTAAATTTGAGTAAAAAGGATATAAAAAAAGAGATCTCTCTAATCAATCTTATGATGTATATTTGTCATGAATTTTATTGAAGGAAGGAGTTTAGTTTAAATAGTTAGCCATTTTTTTGACTCTATATTCCTATATTCTAAACCTTTTGATTGCATTAAAAAAAATATTTGTAGTGTGTACAAAGATTTTATTGTATAAAAAATGTCAATTAATGTGATATATTGATATTTGAAAGTTAAAACAAGTCTGTCTTATTTTTAGAATATTTTAATGTCACGATGATTGATCGACAACCTCTTGCATATATAATATATATACTATACACTTTTTAAATAAAAACAAATAAACGCCAAATTTGGTATAAAAGTATCAGACAAATGAAGATAGATGCTTTCATCGGGGATTTCATCACAAGTTACAAATTGACGCGTCGACAAATTGGCAAGAATTACGCTTAACTCGATTTGTCCGGTCTGTTCCAGATATGGCGTTTGCATTAGAAAGCAGCTCTAGATTCCGTTTGCACGTACTAATAGTCAGTGATGGGACCGAAGCTTAAACTGTAATTATATCAACGACTGTCGCTGTTGAACGTAGAGCTGCTTCCATGTCCACGTGCAATTTATTTGCCGTTCTCGTGTGTAATTGGATCAATTCTGGCTTACAATTAGTAGTTTGACGAACGATATCTGACTGAAGATGTCCAATGCGATTTAAGTGATGTATGTACATTGATACGATATTATACGATACATTTGATGTCGTTAAATGTGAAAGATTAGTTTCATTATGACATTTCTCGTTAGTTCTAACAGAATTATATGTTCTATAATCATTTTTAAACAGAGTATTGGTTATTACATATACATATTTCTGTGTGAATTTACATTTGATTCTGCATATAACCGCATCGGAATCTTTTTCTGCCTTGAAACAACATCATGAGCAGAACAGAGGAATAGTAGTATCACTTTATTAAATTACAAGTAAATTTTAAAACAATCAGAATATAATGTTTTTAAGAATCATACATTGTATGTTAATTGAAATTTATAATATGAATAAAATATAAGTAAATATTTCGACCTTAAATTTGGATCATTTTCAATACAAAATTAAATGAAATGCATTTTAATACATTTTTTGATGTTAATAAGCATCTTTATAAAGATATTACGATAGTAATCAGATATTAATGGAAACTTTAAAATCTGTAAATAATTTATTGCGACAAATATTCTTATTTATGTTATACTTTTTATTAATTATAATATTTATAACATTTATAATATTCTATTATAAATATGTACATGTATTATATATGTATACGTATATCGTATAACGCGTAATGTAACGTGTAGACATAATTCGGCCATCATGTGGACTTGTCATAATAGCCAACAGGATCGGTCGCTCAATTGGATGTATCCTGTGTCTGAATAGTAATGGTTAACGACAGGTCAAAGGCAACCTGCGATACCCTCTGGTTTAAAGGACAAAGGTTTAAAGGACGCAATTCTCTCATGCAATTTCCTCGCTGGTGCTGAATGAAGTGCTGGAATTTGGCACTTCAAAGACCGCAGGAGTGGCATTGTCATTCCAGTGGTATCTACTTTTCATTCCCTTCTTGTTAGCTTTTTGTCATGCCTTATCGATCGCACGGTTAATACCATCTGGCTCTAGCACGTGAGATATGAAAATCGAGATTAGCAACAATATAATACCTTTTTATACACGAACGGAATGATACGCTTACGATAATGTGAAATTAATTTCCTTTTATAATTTTACAATATTTATTAAAGCATCAATTTTATATATTAATTAACTGTAATTAAATTATTGTCACTTTATATGATTTTGTATTATCAGTAAATTATCTTTTTTTATATTTTCTGTGCATGAAAAGAACAATTTAACTGAAGTATTTAAAAATTTAAGCAGATAGAGATTTGAAAATAATTATGCTGAATTATCAAAATATGAAGGATGCTCAAATATAACATAATGACAATGATTCTAAAAGCTTTTGAAATTCCAAGTACCAGTTTAAGCGTTTAAATATAATTATTTTGATAGTCTAATAAAATTATTTTTAGATTTATATCTACAATACTTAAATTTTTGTTATATACTTCAACAACATCCATATAACTTGCACTTAAAGTAAATTTTTATTAAATTATCTTTTATTTCTTTATCTATTAGTTTCACTGTACTATACTGTTAAATTGTCTACTACTTAATACGTATCGTTTAATACAATACATTTATCGATGTTGGGAATTAGAAGGATATTAGAGGTAAAATAGGATGTGCTGCGCAATACTACATATCTTCTTTCCTGTATATTACGGCAAAATGTAGATAAATGAATAATAGAAATATAATTTCATAAGATTAATGGCAGATACATGAGCAATCAATTCAATCAAATCGTCCGATGTATAATCGGGCTTCATTTCTTGACAATTTAACACGTTTTAATAGAGAGTTATTACTTGATTACACGTGCAATCGTCAACGAATTTCGACGCAGCGATCTCATTATTTTGTTGCGACGTGTGTATGATATCGAGCCCTTTCAGGCAAAATTGATTACCGCAGTAATCTATCCTTGTCCAACGGATAGACGAAGGGTGTTACAGATTGCACACGTACTCTCTTCAATCATTTGCTCTCGTCTCGTATAAACGATCGGCTCGATTTTTAACTTTCGAACAAATTCCGATCGCATTAATTGTTACTGCGTTATTTCGCCGGAACAACGCCGAGCGCGTAGCATTTATCGTCGAGAGAAGCAGAGGAAATTAATTCGGATCCCTCCCTCTTTTTTTTATCACGACTGCGGCAGTTTGACAGCCTCTGACAAACGGCTAACCGCGTTGGATCGACATAGCTGTTGAGTTTACCCTGCAGGCAGTTCAGGTCTAATTGTGAGCGGCTGACAGTGGCCGCACTGACAATTACACGACGACATTTCTGTTGACGCGCTGATGGTTATCATTAAATTTGACCCTCTCTAATTGCCTGCGTTCGCAAACGGCGCGAGGAAGGAGATTGGAATGAATCGGATCGCATCGTTTATTGAGTGCCATGATGGATCGTTGCAAGATTATGCAATTGTTCATTTTATATGAAAGTGTTTATGAACATTTCGAGATAAAAATTATGTAGCGGAAAGAAAGTGATTAAGTGACATAAGTGATAGATTATAAAGTATTGTGATTTTTGTATAGTTTATAAAATAGCTTTTAATTCGACTTGATCACTATTATTCATCAAATAGCATTTTACAAAGTTCTTAAGATTTCTTATAAAATAATAATCATGGTTGCAAATGTAACTGCCAGCTGCAAGTCTAATCGTTCTTTTGTTTGCTGTATTACAAGCACAAATATTCTATTTAAACCGCAAGCTTTACGAACGGAATTTCCAAACGGAATCGCGAGGTGCATTGCAATTGTGCTGGCATTATGCAAGTAGATGTAATAATGATAAACATAGAATTCGTGATAGGTACACTTTTATATTCCTTCAGTTTATTCTGCTTTACAAATGTATACTTAAAATTTTTCAACGCTACCAACGTTCTATATGTCGGAGAATCGCGCATTTTCCATTAAATTTATTGGAGATTTAAATAAAATTATTTGCTATATACTATTAGTAATGTTTGACTCCTAAACAATCACAAATTAAAGACCTTTGTCAAAGTAAAAAGTCTGATTTAAGTGAAGCTTCTGATTTTTATTAAAGCATTTTGTCTATCTTAAATTGTACAATCCTGAAGAATCCTTGCTACATTTTTAATCTTTTGCACATGACAGGATATCAGATTAGATATTGATCTTCCAAAGACTCGTAATCCACATGACCTATTCTCGTTGCGCCATTATTGTATTTTGCTGTATCGCAACCGGTCTGATTTTCCTCCAGGTCATCGTAAGGGTTGAGTAAGGGGAATAAAATGAAAGAAGGGGCGGACTCTTATCCGGCTAGGATGCAATTTCGTGGTATTAATGTTGCAAGAGCGTCAACCGCGAGCGGTCGGTGCACTGAGGACTCTAGCTTTCCTCTCTATAGACAAACTATTCTGTACTTGACCCGTTTTCGCGAGGAACGAAATTGCATGAAAATTTGTGCTTCCCGCGAGGAGTACAACGGAAGCCTGCCTAAATATTCTTGCGGATATATTTTTGAAAAATACTTAATTTAGTATACATCGTACAGTTTTGAAGTAAATTTGATGCAATAATTGATGATTGTAAAAAAAAAAAAACTATTAAATTAGATATACTAGTTGTATAAAAAAAGTAACTAAGTTAAGTTACAATTATAAAAGAAAAGAAAAAAAAGCAAAGTATACAGTTGCCGAAAAAAACTTACTCTACTTGTTTTGATACAAGTAACGAGGTACCAACCCTGTGAATAACATATGTATGTACATGCGGTATGCATACAGCTACACACAAGCATAATTTTCTCTGTGTATATAATGCATATACATCATACAATGACGATATACGCGCGCTGTTCGGTGCGTGTATCCATATTAAACGTACATATTTGCGTGTCGCCGACTGTATGTACTTACTATTCCAGGACTGTTGAATTGGCAGGGCAGCAGCGCGTTTCCACCGGTTTGCGCTAAAACATCCTTGATGAATTTCGGTCTCACACGAGGGTCAACTGGGTCGGTCTCTTTTGTCGAGCCGCCTCGTTCGATTGCGCCTTCTGTAAATATTCGGTAGAGAACTTTTACAATATTAATGCTCGATCTTGGCAGAAGAGTCGATTTCTTAAATCAACTTGAACCGCAACTATACACAAGTTTTGATTCGCTAAAAAATTAAATATCAAAAAATCGATTCAACAAAGATTGATCTAAAAGATCGACGTAACTAATTGTATATATCTTGTTTTAATTAAATAATTTATAAATATATGTATGTAGTGTTAGATTTATTTTTTACTTCAAGTAAGTGCAACTTTCCCTTTTTCCCCAGGGAAACTATTCCGCTGGACTTTTTGGGTCATGTTCACTGAATACAAAGAGGATATGATATCTCGGAGAGTACTTGCGTGGAAATCTAAACTAATTGTTCGGATTTCAGTGATCATTATATAAATTAGATTGAAGATAAAGATTTCTTTTTGTAATCAAAAACAATATTCATTAAATCTTCTAATTCTCTTGTTCAGCATTCAATAGCTAGAGATGACTGTCAAATCGTTTTCAGTTTTAACGAGCTGTTAGTTTTCAATGGGTACTCAATTGAACATTCGTTAACAGAGAATTCGATAAAAGTTGACGTAGAGTTTGCAGTCCGAAATAGATTTTGAAGTAGACAGGTCAAGAATATATCGAGTGTCTTGAACATTTTCGAGAGTTGAAAAAAAGGATATAGTTTGATAAAAATTTATCACTACATTTTCAAGGTATAATCAATCAATAATTCAAGATTTATTAAAAATTTAAAATTAGATAAAATATTGAAAAAGGATCTAAAAGATTTCGTTTATACGCCTGCGATATTACAGAAATAATTTTACTTTTCTCTCATAATAAAATAAAATTTTTATCATATAATTCACACTATTGCATATTGATCGTATAATACAAAAATATATTTCCGTATATTCGGAAAATTGACATTTTCAATATTTTATTTTTCTTTCATTATATTAATAATAATTTCCAATCACGCTTGTATTATATAAGCGCACATCCTTCCTCTGTTGGGTGCGCTGCTTCGAATTTCATAACGTTCGAATGAATGGAAAATAATTATTGCGTAAAAAGATGATTAATGTAATTATTGTATTCAATAATACGTTCAATATAATGCAATAATGGTTTATTTTTAAACGTGCTTACATAATACGAAATTTGATACATGTTATTTGTTTTATTCGTTGAAATTATAATAATATTTAAATTTGATACAAATGTAATCCGAAATGTTAGATCTACGTATAAGTACAATACAATCTGAGTGTGTATATTTCACTAAAATTTCATTGTTATGAATATGAGTATTGCGCAATTATCGCGTGTTTTCTTCTTCAACAGTAAATTTTACAACTCCTCTTTTAGCAAGAAGATATTTATAACGCAATTTAAATTTACATTATATTTTTAACGAAAGCTTTGTTAATTCGTATTAAAGGATTTTAACGAAAAAAAATTGTATGCTTTAAGGCTATTAAAAAATTTTAATATGATTTTTTTTCTCTAGTTAAATACAATTCCGCTTCAACAAATTTAATGCGTGGTTTAATTGTCAAATTTAACATGCAATGGAAAATTGTAATTAGCTGGTTAAAGTTAAATGGTTAAGTGGTCTGTGGACTCGCTTTGCTCAATACTAACATCTGCGTTTATCTCTTCATTATTACAAGAAGTCATCTGAGCAGTCAGCGCGCACGTGTTTGAACTGAAGCGTAGAGGTTCCGGCTTTCCCTCTGGCGTTTACACCTATATTCAATATAGACCAAGGATATTGGAGATTATGTTACCATATATGTGTATGATTAGTTCAGATTAGAACCGACTAAATCGGTAATGGTTGCGTCGCGTATTGCGTACATCCATTCGTACCGTAAGTTCGATTCGCGTTCCCGCCCGCGTGCACGCTACAAACAATGGATAAAGAGATGAGAGGAAATTACATCGACGCCGCTCGTAGCAATCTCAGCGTTGTAATCCGCAACAGCATATTAAAATGCCGGGCGGACGGTCATTTGTATGTCGGCGCGATATCGGATGCGCTATTGATCGAATATTTATAATGGGCATTTATAATGGGTGCGATATCTCGTCGTATTGAGAGCGTAATATCGTCGCATTATGAACAAAGCACGTATCAAATATCGGTTCACGTTGTTGATATCGGAGGATGCTGACGACGAGGAGAAATTCGTTAAAATATGTACATACTACTCGGCCAAATCTGTTTAAAAATTTAAAGTATAAGATTAATTACTGTTGATCTTAAATTCTAAAAAATTCGCAAAAATAAAATTTGTATAAAGCAAGGTATTTAAGTAGGTCTGGATATATGTTAAAAAGGGTTGATTAAATACATACACACACACACACGAACATATATATATATATATGTATAATATTGTTAAAATATATAATATACAAAGCAAAAAGAAACACATTTTGAATATCTGTTAAAACAATTTGTTACTAAAATTTTTAATGAAATCATTAACATAAAGCATAATAAAAATGTAATTATTTTTAAAGAAAAAAGTTTTAAAAAAATGGTAGAAAACAAGAAATATAATTTTTTCAAAATTTTCGAAAATTTCTTCGAACTAAGAACAGTATCTTAAATTAACACAAAAATTTGAGTAAGCTCTTTGGGCTCATAAAATGTGTTAAATTTAACACGAATTTTTTAACTGTAGTCAAATATTTTAGGAGCAAACCCGCCATCTTTTCACATTATGTTTCGCTTGTAAAGACGTAAAATATACGAGTTAAAAAGGTTATCGACTTGTTTGTGCTATTTACCGCATTCTGACTGTTAGAAGTAGCACAATCGTTACAATTCTTCATCACATACGACATCTTGTTTCCTTCAGAGGATGATCTGTATTATTTAACTGTCAATATTTATCTCGGTAGATCGCCCATGACTTTCTGCTTACTCGAATTGACTTTAATACACGAGTGTCAAAGTTCGAATGGGATTGAACAAGCATGAGAATGAATCGTCGAAGACCCGTGAGTAAGTAGATATCTCAAGTCCGTTCTACATATGTTCCACTCGAAAACAGCAGAAGTCTCTTTTTCATAAATCGATTTTCTAAGTCTGTTTTCCAGCGCTCATCATTTTGTATTATTATACTTTTCTGTTATTGCGTTCAATCCGATTTTCGCAATTTATATCGTTTCCTAAACACAATGCAATGTGTATGCCACATATTATCGATTTCGTGGGTTATCACTTGTGTAGGTTAGAGACGCTGTAACAGAGTCTAGTCATGAGCAATTTTATTAAAATCCTATACGAAATCCTCTAACGAATTCTCTAAAATTTTTATCAGTATGTAAGTGCAATGTTTAGTTTTCGACAAATAAGAGGATGTTTCTAAAAAGGAGAGTTATATCAGTATCGGCGAGTTTCTCTCTCGTAGAATTTTGACAAAATCGCTCGTGGCCAGATTCTGTTATAGGGTCTCTAGTGCAAGTTTATGCTCCGGCCCCTGGTCGCTTCCGGGCTGGTTAACGAAGGTCTGTGTGTAACGACTTGGTGTGAGCACCGAAGCACATCGTAAACCGTATTGCGTCGGTCCGAGAGAATATTATACACCGTTGACGTGGGTTGCCAGTGACGGTAGTGACGCGTGCGGCCGAGCGGCATCGCGGGATCGAGATACTCACGTCCATACGTCGGAGCTAGATGGAATTTTTATGACCGAATGTGTTAAAAATATTATCGTGTCATGGGACAGGCAGTTTTCCTCGCGAAAAGCGTCGGCAGGCTCATTCGGAATGTATTGGACAATGCCTACAGCCACACCGGTGCGACGTGGCGCGCTACGTATGTCGCAGTGATAAAGTATTTCGAAAATGTGATTCTATCGATTGTGGAATACCGGCTGGAATATCGAGACTAGTAGCTCGAGGATAAATCGTCTTTTGTGATGTATTTCCCGCACGGTCGAGTTTAAAAGAAAAAAGAACTGCTACAGTTCGGAGTAGCTCCAGACATTTCATAAAATGTTTACACATATCGTGGAACTAATTTTCAACTTGATTTTTTCTGCATGGAAGGAATAATTTTGCTAAAATATCTAAAAATCAGTTAGACACAGATTTAAAAATAGTTTTGTTCAAATACCAAAATAATTATTCCAATAGCATGGACTTTCAAAGGATGTCTTTAAGACGTCTAGAAGATATCTCTACATCCTAAAAAGAACGATTTTACTGAAGTGTCTAAAAATTTAGATAGATACAGATGTACAAATAATATTTTATGTTTCCAGAAAGTCCCACAAATATAAATGTGCAGTATATATGTACATACGTACATAGAAAAATCGATTTTGTTTCAAGAAATTTGACTATGATATAAGTCCGAAACTAATTTTATTGGATTATCACAACAATTATATAGAAGACTCATGCAGATGAGTAACATTGCAAAAAAACTTTTCATATTCTAATCATCAGTTTCAGCATAATTATTTTGATAGTTCAATAAAATTATTTTCAAATCTGTATTTAGCTAAAATTTTAGATACTTCGGTGAAACCGTTTTCCCGTGTGGAATAACTTTTTACGACATCATTAACAGATTTTACATTACGGAGAAATAGCACAGAGAAAAATGGTCTTTAGTTGTTATTTAAAAAAATGCGGTACTACGACATGAGTGAACAACGTAATTACTCTCGTGCGGGTAATTCCCGAAGTGTGCACGAATATGAAATAGTTGATGCTATTGAAAATTGCCGTGTTGAGCGTTACATGTTCAGAAAGTACGAAGCGCTTTTAGATATACACGCTGCATTACATCGCCGTTGCGCTTATGCATATGCAGAAACGATAATATGACAGCCCGCGAAGTATTCCGCTGTATATCCTCTTCTACGAGATTACCAGCTTTCTGGTACATGAGTGTGTCGAAACTTTCCTTGTCGACCCATCCGTGTATCTAACTTCAAACCATATCATAAATCGAAAGATATCATGTGAAAATGTTGCGTAG